TGTTTGATGATTTTATTAGAGATAGATACAATTTTAAACAATCTTCAAAATATTTTATTTGAAGGGATTTACAAAGGCCTTAACAACAATCAAATAATAGGGTGGTCTTTTTGTCTTAATATAAGATACTATCAATGGCTAAGAAGACCTATCAACCATCTTTGAAGAGAAAAAAGATTAAAGTATGTGACAAATATAATTTATTGCATCTTAGATTTTTTCAATATATGATGATTGTTCTTTTTAGAACTCGTGTATAGAAAGTAAAATAATGTTATAGATATACATATTATTCTAATATTTACTTATATGATTAAGTAGAAATAAATAAAAGTAAATTTATTTTATAATATTTTCTAAAGATACATTCTAGAAGCTTAATAGATGTCGCACTGATTTTATATTTGTTTATAGTTGATTTGTAGATTAGAAACTTGGTCAACAAGTTAATCACATGTTAATAGCTTGCGGAACAAGCTAACTATGTGACATACCTATAGAAAACTTGCCTTGTAAGTTAAAATATACATCTTGCAAAGTTAACACGTTTTGGAGGTCCTATAAGACATCACCATATAACTCTTAATTAAGAGTATATATGGAAGTAAGAGTAAAGTCTTCTTCATTCTTATCAATTTCTTTTTAGTTCTTAGTCTTATCTCAAGTCTTTCTAAGTCTTTTTGTCTTTGGCAATAGCCATTTTTGTTTAATACTATATTATCTTTAAGTGATTTTTTAGTCTTTTTGAATGATACAAGAGAATATTGATATTTTAATTCTTTGAAGTTCATGTCCTTGATAGATCCTAAAAAAATTCAAACTACATGGATTACAAAGTTTTAAAAATAATAAAATATGTCCAATATTTTATAAGATTTTTTAATTATTATTGGATCTTCATCAAGAACTTTTCTCAAGTAGCAGCTCTTCTTAGACATCTTTCACATAAAGACAAACTTGAGTAGAGTAAAGAAGCTAAAGCCTCTTTTGAAGCTTTAAAGATAATTTTTATTTCTATACCAATCTTATATTACATTAACTTCTTCAAGGCATTCTTTATAAAAATAAAAGTATTAGACCTTGCTATAAAAGTGATATAATTACAAATAAGAGTAAGTGAAAAATTCTATTTAATAGCTTTCTATTTCAAAAAATAATTTTTAGCTAAGATTAATAATAAGATCTAAAAAAAATAACTTTTTATAATTATGGATTTATTTCAAGAATGGCATCATTATTTAGAAGGTACTTTGAGTCTAATGATTTTATATATGAATTACAAGAAACTTAAGTATTTCATATCAATGTGTATTTTGAATTGTTGCCAAGTACATTAAAGTATGTATTTATTAAGATTTGATTTCAAGATCACTTATCAATCAGAAAAACAATGAGGTTTGTTACATGAGCTTTCTACATATTCTTATCTTGTACCAAAAGAAGAACATATAACTTTTAATTAATAAAGAATAATTTTCTTGAAGCCAAAATATTTTCATCATCAAAAAAAAAAATCAACATTGATTGTTGATTCAACTTTTTTTAAGCTACTTCAATCATATATGCCTTTTGATCTTCTTATTCATAATATTAAGAATAATTCTTATAAGTTTCATGATATTTTTAAGTTCAAGTTTCAAAAATAATATACTCTATTTTGAGAAGCACTTATGTACTCTAAAAGATAAAACATAATTATGTATTATTCAAGCTTTTCATAACTTCCTAGAAACTAAATATTTTAGATACAACAAGACTTTGGAACTAATATCTAGAGATTTTTTGTGGCTTCAAATATCAAAAGTAATCAAAGACTTTGTGCAATCATATGATGTTGGTTCAAGATCAAAGACTCCTTGTCATAAGTTTTTTTGACTCTATATTTGTATTTGTAGATTAATTCTTCAAGATGGTATTTTTTATTTTAAATTCAAAATTTATTATAAATAAATAAATAGCAAAAAAATTCTTGGATAACTTTATTGCTATCATGGATTGTTAAGGAATATTTATATTAGATAGAAGAACTCAATTTGTATCAAGATTTTAGAGAATTTTTTTTAAAGATTTTAAAGATGGACATAAAACTATCTTCAACTTTCCATCTTTAAATTGATGGACAAATGGAGTGAGTAAATCAAGTTTTAGAGCAATATTTGAGGTATGCCATCATCAACCAACAAGATAATTAAATAATTTTTTTTTTTATTGGCAAAGTTTGTTTATAAAAATATGATACATTTTTCTATTCAACAAATACCTTTTTTTTTTACATTTCATTTGAAGAGGCATTTGATTTAAAATTTATTCTTATACAATCAACTACATTAACAAGTTACTATATGGAATTTATAAAGAGACTCATTGTTCATATTCTATGCTATATTATTAAGTCTTATAAAGTGATATTTTTATTTTATCTTATTGTATACACTTCAATTATATCACAAATAAGAAAAATTTTAACTTAATAGATATTTGATTTATAAGGATCTAATTTATATAAATATAATTCACAATTCAATGTCATATATTGAACTTTGTAATATAAGAAAAATCCTTAGTTTCTTGTTAAATTGTCTTTGATATAAAGTATTATATCAAAATTTATTATAATTTTTAAATGCCTAAGAAAATCAAATAAAAAGAAATACATAATATAAATGCAACAATTATAATTGTTCTATTGAAATATAAAGATGTAGAAAAAACTTATAATTTCATGAAATTGATATCAAATAAGTTGATTGACTATAATATCTTTATTAGTGGCCAAAACTTTTAGTAGGTCTTTAATTCATCTTATAGTAACTCTTTTTGTCAAACTTGTGTATTTGACTCTAGTAGCTTAACAACACTTAATATTACAAATAAAAAATGCTTGTGAAAATTATATCTTCTTGCATCTAGATAAATACAAGATGATAATTTTTCTAGTTTTATTGAATAAATATTTTATTTTGCACCAAGGACAAAAAATTCACGTCTAATTAATGAAATCTCTTTAGAATCAATCATATTTTTATTAATAACAGATAATTGGTAATTATAGGCTTATTAAATATGCTCTTTGACAACCATCAAAGGTTGTTTAACAAAACATCACAATATTTTTTGAAGAGATTCTAATATAAATAGATGCCCACCAAATGAATCACAAATTGACAACTACCAAGCAAGAAGAACAATTTTGTTCTTTCCTATGACAAAAATCTTACCTAAAGTTGAGAAATTGTTTGCTAATACTTCCTACTTCAAGCCATCAATGGTCTTAAATACAGTACCACTCACTTTCAAGGCAGAATGTCCATGAAGATGTTTGAAGGTGCATATTGATTTTATAAGGTGTCTAATATGTAAAAAAGATATTGTACCAAATCTACACAGTATGCTTTTTGGGCCCCAATTGCAAAAAAGAAAAAAAATAAAATAAAATAAAATAAAGAATATAGCTTATCATGTTGAAGGACAAATTTGCAATCGTACTAGAAAGTGGTAGATTTGATATTATCAAGAATATATGAGTATTTATGATCTTTTTCTTTTAATCAAATGCTAAAGCACTAAAAGAAGTATTATTAGTAGGATTTATATAGCATAAGAGAGTAGCAATTTACTAACAAAGAACCAAAATTAACATTCATTCTTATTATATTTTTTTTATTACTCTAATCAATAAATTTAATTTTATAAAAATATTAGAAATACCTCCAATCTAAAAGAACTTAAGACCAGGCTTTTATATTATTGCATAATGTAGTAAATAATCTGAGAAGGTGGATAGTATATTCTTGCATAAAATAGTAATTAATTCAAAAAGGTGGATTAGTAAATATGTACTAGTTTTTGAATGGAATCAATGAGACTTAGTTGTTTATATTATATTCTCATTTCAAAAATTGCAAGGTATATAATTACATTTAAGATATATATGCTTATAGACTAGCCAGGTCGAAAGAAATATCAAAATATTTAAAGGAGAGATTTTGAGTGATGGACATAACAAATCATATATACAAGCCTTATTGATTACGTAAAGATGCTATATTTTAAAAAATAATAAAGTAAAAAACTTTAAAATGTAATAATAAAAAACCATAAATAGAAGATACAAACCAGCATAGCAATTTATGGATAGAAAATAATACTTTAGAAAAATATAAGAAAGTAAAATTGAACACCAGTCTAAACTTCTAAATAGTGATTCAATACTTCTTACACCAAATATAGACCAGATAAATTGTACCAATATACTTTAGCTTTTCTACCTTTTAAGTTTGCCCTACAAGTAATAGGCTTATATGATTTTTCCCACTTTTTTTTAATTCAATGGCATGGGTCCACCCCCTCCATGTCAAAAAGAACTCTGTCAAATCATGTTCTTGTGGTTGCTTTAACCAAGCTCATCTGAGTGCACAGCTATGTTACCCTACATGAATTTAAGGATTGGAATTCCGCAAGGTAGGGTGCCTCTGATAACTCTGATTAACTTGTAAACAAATACAGCTACTTCCTCAGGTTTTCGGTGACTTGAAATTGAACAGATGTAACCATTCATCTGGGCACCATTGAATTTTATAAGATTGTGCGAAGTGATTGGCAGCCACCAGTGGCTTGAGCACCATCGTTCAAAGCACATTTGACGTTTGTGATGGTGATCGTAGAGAGAAATCTAGTATCACGAGGAACTTGGCTCCTAAAGAATTTAGAGAGATATTCATTGAGAGGGTGGAAACTGCTGAAAGTGTCTCTTTTCTTCATGGTCACGACTGTGGCAGTCCTGATTTGCTTCAGCCACGTGTATCTAAATGCGGGTGGTGAATTCATAGAGAATTATCTAACGGTGAACTCAACATCTTTCACTTTTTGGTCCAGATCCTACGACCCAACTGATTGTGGATTCGGTTCCGATTCTCCACGAGGGTGCGATGAGAATTTTTTTTCTCTTGACGTCATGGTCATGACCCACGACTGTTTAAGAATGGATGGTCTGTAAAGTGGCGGTGAACGCTTTGCAGGGTGATCTGAGGTCAAATTCTAGGAGTCCAGATCGACCCACGTGCAACGCGTTATTCGTGAGTTTTCAATGCATGGCCACTACTCATACAACTTGTAAGCTCTAACCGTCTCATTCTTTTTCACAAGTATAATTCGTCAACAGTGCAGACCTTACCTCAATTGATCAACATGTTCCATTAACATGCTGTGGAACCAGTGGTAGAAATATCGAATGTTTTTGGAGGGGTGATTGTTGCAGGCAGTCGTATCGAAATTTAAAGTCATCACCCAGTGGACAATCGATTGCCGTTTTGCCGATGCAAACTTCCTATCTCATCTGCTCCCTAGGTCCCACGCATTCGGTTGAACGATCGTGCAAGTGGTAATTGGTGTGTTTTCGTTTGGTCTGTACAAATCCTCTTGGCAGTGCTTCTCTAACGGAATTGAAACAATTTACATGTTGCCTTTGGGTTTCTCAATGGTTAGTGAGAGTGCGTAGATTTGCATCTCATTCAAGCATTTACGCCTTATTAGCTCACATGATCGTGAATTTTCCTTTCCATTGGTTGCTAGTGCTAGTGCACTTCCACTCCAGTAGCTCTAATTGGACTATTCTCGAGGTCTTTGTCAACTTCTAATACTAATCCACATCACACTCCTGTATATCATGTTGCAGCCTGTGACGAAACCCCAAAGTCACACTCCTCTTGGCACCGAAGCTGAATCAGAACGCCGGAGTTCATCAACGAGCACCTGAAAGTGATCATTTTTGAATATCCTACTTCGTCTGAACTGAAATCTTGCAAGCTACGCAGTGAATGGAAACAGCAGTACAAACCCCTGTCAGCGTGCCCATCGTCACACCGTCACTCACTCCCCACAGAGTGCAACGCGGCGATAGTCCTCTCAGCAGCCTGGGTCCAGAAGAAAACCTCCCTACTGTAGACGAGACTCAGCCATGCCTACCACGATTGGATGTCGATGCGGGGAGAAAGAAGGAAGACAATGCTGAAGAAGCAAATTTGGAAAATAGCCCACAACTGTCGAGCCCACATGAGAAGAAGGGCATGAGAGATAGGCTTCGAGGATTAGCGGACAAGTATGTGTCGTGCTTACACGCCATCGATGGCGGTACCGGGGACTTGCGAGGGTGCGGGGGTACTGGAAGTCCGACCGTGGTGCCTGCGCCGCAGCCTTTTGAAGCACCCTCCGTTGGCTAATCCTTCCGCAAATTTGTGAGATGGTCGCATCATGTCGACTACAGGCTGCAGAGTGTTCTGAGATTGTAGTTTGTTATAGTCTGTTAAGTGATGAGAATTCTAGACAGCAGATTTGATTAGGTAACCTCAACAAGGTGATTGTGGGTTCTGGAATAATTTGCAGAGTTCCTGACCATTTGCGCATGGATTGTGCGTGTATGGATACTTCAGTCTGCAGATTTCTTTTGTTTACTTGGTGAGTGTATATAACAATCACAATTGTAATCAATTTATCTACACAGAAGGGTTAATGGTGGGAACGACACTGACGTATGATTCTGATGAGTGCAGTCAGTTGACGGAGAAGCAGGAAAGTGTGGTGTCTCCTGCTGCAAATCCTTAAAACTGTGTAATGATTTTTTATTTACCCTGTACATGAGCAATTATCTGCAGAGAAAACAGTTCCTCTGGTCAGTTGAAAATGGTAGTAGTGCTTGAAGCGCACACCTGTCGAACTGGAATCGTAGTTTTCCTATAAACTTGTGCGACCAAGTAGGCCTGAAGTCTGTCATGTTCGCCAGGAACTCACGGATGCAGCGCCAGCGACGATCTTACATATACATAAGAAGGTTGTGTTTATATATATATATATATACAAATCTCTCCTAATATTCCTATTTAAAAAGAAAACTCAGTCACAGCGGCTGCCACAAGCTGGATACATTAATGTCAGATTTTATACCATGTTTGAACGCTGCGAAATATTTACACTCATCCACAATTGAAAGCGATCTCGGCATGGCAACGATAGCTCCGAAAACTCCGAAAGACACCAGTCTGCACTCAAGAGTGAGAAGGCAAAGGCGACGAAGCGAAGATAGCAACCGTTATTTAACTGAACAACAGCTGACGTAGTACATAGCTACCCAAACGACGTGTTGCAGGAATTCCTCTACCGTTTAGAACGGCATCCGGAGTTCGTCGAGATGTGAGCGTAGGCATTGCTTGCAGAGTTGAAGAGGTCCTTGCTAAGAAATCCTTGGTTAACACTGCTGGAGTTTATAATTTGATGTAAAGTACAACACAATCGGGTGGAGATGGATATAGTGAGGAAGTTTTCGGGCGCGGCCTCGCTACAAACTCAGTCATTGCCCTCTACAAGCTTTCATCAGGACACGGCTTCTATGCAAACGGAGTTCGAGGTTGAGGAGGAGCAGGTTCCGTTTGCTCATACACTCTACATTCTAATCTATTTGCGTGAGGTTGATCATCTTGCTTACTGCTGCAATTCGCTTCACTTCTTTTAATGGAGAATTAATCCAGATCGAGCTGCTTGAGCGCGTTGCTGCTTTAATTTCGTAACCTTCATTGATTTCATCAATTTGCTTCTTGTCGTCAGCTTCAGCAGCACGATTGAAGTTGATACTTTGGTATATTCTGAAGTAAATTTGAAATGGTGATAGTTACTGCATTGCGTCTATCAATTGAGGGCAATTCAATCTTTCCGAGATGCCTAACGTTCTATAATCGAATCAAGAAATTAGGGTTTTAGCTCGTGTAGGGTTAAGTGCAGGAGCAGAGCTTGACTACAGATATGTTTGCAACAGGTGCTGAATGGGTTGAAACTAATCTACTCGGACAAGATAAACGACGCTGAGGACTATTTCGACACACTCAGGGCGGGACACGCACGCTTCAGCCTACATTACGCTGAAGTTGCAATGTTTGTGGCGGTCATGTCGCATGACGATGACGACATTAACTTCGCCATCTCGCTGTTTCAGGCAGCCGAGGGATTCGCGTCCGAACAAGAAGTTAAGTAAGAAATCTTCATGAGTTCGCTATTTAATCAATTCGTTTGATTCCGAGTATTCATTGTTGACAGTTCCATTTTGAATTAACTTACATTGTTGCTAGATGGCGACTAACAAGCTTCTTCCAGAGAAACTGCAGACATCGCACTCACAGCAACATAAAGAAGGTGAACGAGACAGTGAGTAGCATGAAGAGCTGGGCGTTAGGCAAAGCGGTAGCAGTTCTTGAGAAATCAGGGTTCGAGAAAGCTGCTGCATTAAGTGACAAGCTGAAGTCTAAGGAGGAAAATCCAGACGTAAAGGATGCCATGTCGCGCGAGGAGACAAATGTTCAACATCGGCTTCGCAGGATGCGCTTGTGGTGCTTGTATATTCAAGCCGAATGCTTCCTCTTCATCGGCCTCTTGACTGTAAGTTAACACCTTCTACGCCGTAACTCACTGAAAGTAGATGTGAACAAAAGAAATTCGGTGTTATCAGAGCGTGAATCAAGCTCCTGCTCGATCGTAGGGTGTTCTACTATTACCGTAGCCTCAGTCTGCGTTGTTGTATGTCTCCTGTTGCATTGGTTTATCCTTCATACTTCCATCTTTTTTAGAAGACAAGAACCCAATTCCTTTGACCTCTTGGTTCCGCAGGGTTGAGAATGTAACTCATTCATCTACAAACCTTACTACAGTTGGGTAGACTACGGTGGTAGAATTATTGTAGTGCCGAGTTTGAATCTTGGTTTCTTCCATAGCAACTACATATGATAACCATATACGAAGGACTTAATGTGCACGTCTCTTTAAACATACTTCATCTTGTGTTGTTTGTTCCATACGTCCACAATGTCTACACCACGACGATTACTTACGATTATTTACGATTATTTACGATTTTTTGATCTTACTAATTGGTTGTTAGGATGTTTAATTTCTTGTGCTTTGTGCATTACATGGCTTACTTCAGTCAGTTTGGTTTGGGGTACATCAGACTTTGGCTGGCGGAGAGAGGTGGAGCTCTATGGTGAAGGTGGGGTACAACTTGAAAAGGGCGTGGCTCATTTACAAGCACAGCAAGAAGAAGCTCTTGCAGGTGCAGCGGGAATGGGTGACCATGGGCGGAACCCTGCAGGGTGAACTGAGTGGAAACCTCCGAGCTAACTACGACACCGACGATGATGAACAAAGCCCCGTAAGCCCCTGGGTACATCTCTATAATTGGTATTCATTTGGACTGACTGATATCCACCTCTTATTAATTCTTGTGTCATGGTACTCGAGGGGAACACTGATGTAGTTGTAATATGCAGAATTCAGGGTCTGCAGTTCCATCGACGCCCGACTCACAGTCTGACATGGATGAAGAAGGATGGCAAATAAGGCAGCCCCGACTTTCAGAGTCTGAAATGATTGAAATGGGTGAGAATCCTACGTATCTGTATCTCAATGAAATGCCGGATCAATTAGTAATTGATCCGCTTTGATCTCAAATACAGAAGAAAGAAGTGATCCTCTCATCTGAGGCTGACTTTGAGTGCCTTTTCTTGACAAGATAACATTACTTGGCATAAGGTTAATATTAGAAAATATGTATAAACTAGGATTTTTTTTCCAATTTTAGTGTAAATCTCAAATTGGATATGAATGGGTGACCTGAATTGCACTCTTTCTGATCTGGTTGTGGTAGGAGCCATTGCTGCCAGTGGCAACCTGCAGAAGCTGGAAGGGAACATCAAGGAAGACCAAGAACTAGCATCTCTAAGAATTGGAATTGAGTTTGGGATGGGGGCCTTCAACCTCATTGTGTCGCTGATTCCAGCCCAGTATCACAAGGCGCTAGAACTTCTGGGCATGCCTGGGGACAGAGCAAGGGCCATCATTCTTCTGAACAGTGTCTCTACGACGCACCATCCGAGAGCTCCACTTGCTGCGCTGATGCTGCTTCTTTGTAAGTCCCACTCATTCAGTGTGCATGCTAATCCCAAGGTTGCCAATCGCTCTATGTTTCCAACCATTGTTCGCTAATGACAAACATCTGTCAATGTGCTAGACCATACGGTCGTCATGGCATTTCTGCCTCCGATCAAAAATCACATGGAAATTGCCACTTCATTGCTCAACAATATGGAGCCCAATTGGAAAGGGGGTTGTATCATCCGCGTTGTGGAGTCTCGCTTGGCTCGTTACGAGGGTAACCTGCAGATGTCCAGTGACCTTCTCTCCAACCACACAGTTGATATGAATTTACGAGGATTCAACCTCAGGCTTCGAAATCTTATGCTGGAAGAGATGGGGTGGTGTCTTATGTTACAGGGTCACTATGAGAAGGCGGCTATGTGTTTTGACTCCCTCTTCAAGGTCATTCCTCCTAGCTTCCTTATGAGATTCTGTAAAACAGCGGCAATAAGTCTTTGATTAGAACCACGCCTTTTAATGGTATGTGTACCATTTCTTCACATTGACAGTTCATCTGTTTTAGACAGTTTCTGACTAACAATGCTATACTTTACGTGAATGCATATATTGCCATAACTCGATTATGCTAGAGAATTTTAGGTTGTGAGTTTGAGTTCTGGTCATTTCAAACCGCGGCCTTAAGCTTCGTACAAATTCACCTGAAGCAATGTAAATCAAGGTCTAAGTGTCCAAATTGAATAACATGTCAGTTACTGTGACGGCTTTAAAAAAAACATCAGTCTAATTGCAATAGTTTAGAAGCCCCCACATAGCCATTGCTACGCTGCAAGTATGATTCATTTTTCCCTAGAGTTATATAGAAGATAAAGCGATACTTGAAGCTGAGAGAGTACCATGGCGATCATTGGCTCTGCAGGAGACTGCTTGGTTCAAGCCTTTTTATTGCTGTCTGAGGTCAGCTTGTTTGTGGGAATCTAGTGAACCAGGCTCGAAGCAAGAAGGCGGTCGTCTGCTCGAGGACGTCACGACATTACTAAGTGCGAAGAAAGGAAAATTGTCATCTGTGGAACTCTTCGTCAGCCGTTTGTCTACCGACTACGTCACCCTTGGCTTGGTAAGGCTTATCTTCATTGCACTCCTCCGTTAGCGTGAACAGCAGGACTCACAGAAAAGATCATTTGAATTGAGTGGTGCATCCTATATTGCGTCATTCTGCAATTGGTGAGAACTCGTTAGAACCTAGTCAAGAGTTCGGGTTGAATCGGCCATTTCACATCTTGAATCATAATCGCATTTTGATGGGTTTTTCTATAGTCAATTCTTAAAAAATCACCGAATCCCAGGGTCACTCTGTCAAAGGATCTATTGATAAGGAAATGAGAGTTTGTTCATTAGGAAATCACATTAAGAAATGTCAATGGCCATACCCTTTTCAATACTCGACAAATTTTCCAGATGGATCAAAAATTGTGTTTGAGTAATGAGCCTGCAGAGTTTCAAATTATTGTATCTTAGATTTTTCTTTTTACTTGTATTTTGAAAATTTTATTACTTTCATTCACAGCACATGTGTAAAGATTTTAAAAATATAAATTCAGTAAGACCAATATGTGCATCTCACTTTAGAAATTGATAGGAATGGATATTTAAAGATGAAGCAAGAATTATGAGGTTTGGTGAGGTACTAATCCAACACCAATGCTCCACCTATCTAAAACGGAACCCACAACTCCATATACGGTGACCCTGGGTTTACATGCTGATGGTCTTCTGAAAAACTAAAGTACCAAACACTGTCCGATTATGTGATTTTCATTTCTGTTGGTCTTTGGCAAGCTTCATCAACTGCTGAGCATTGAAGATCGTGCATGCCCAACCTTGTACTTAACCGACCACTACAAAAGAATCAATCATAAAATGGAAGAAGGTTCATTGGCTTGTGTTGTTTTTCGAATGCAGGTTCCACTGCATCCTGCCTTGGAATTAATCGCTGTTTATAATGGCTTCCACCAAATGAGTCAATTACGACTCAAGGAACTAGCGGCGCAGCTTGATGCAGAGCTACGTCTGCACAGTAACAGAACCTTAATATTGAATTTCATGCCTCAAGAGAAGGTACTAATTTCACTAATTCTTGTTAACATATTACATTTCTCATTCAATTCACTAATTTTTGTGAATCGTACTGTAAAATCGGTCGATTTTGTTTGCTTTTAACTCCTAGCAACATTCAACTTGAATTATTGTCAAAATTAGCCTTCTTTTATTGCTTGCATCGCTGTAGCAATCAACCATACAGGCAAAATTTGTGGAGTCCATCCCCCAAAGTCAAGAGTTAGTACCCACACAGTTGTATGGAAAAAATATTATGAAGATAATATCAAGCGTTAGTACAGTAAATTCAGCGGCGCAGGCGTCGAGCAGCAGAAAAGCACCTGTGGAACACAACTGGGTTGAAGAAAGCATGATAACTTGCAGGTTCGTCTTTGGAAGTTCTTCCTGTCTGAGCAACTTTCTGCATGGAGTTGTTAGCAAATGATACTTTATTTGAATATTTTTCAAATTATAATTTAATTTTCGAGTGTGTGTGCCTTATTCACAACCACGAAACAAGTAGCATCTGAAACACGGAGAATTTCCTGTGGAATCATATTACGTTCAGCGGTAGTGTCGTCATGCCAACTGCTAAAGTCAAAAGCAGTTCTGAGATTACTGAAGACAATCCCAGCTATATGTTCTTTGTTTCGCAACTAGCAAAACTCTGAAGCAACTTTAATCACGACCATCTGCAGTATTTATAGGATTTCTTTCTTAAACATCATTATTTGTTGCTAGACTTTTTAGGCAATTGTGACCCACCCTTCATGTCGAATCAGGTACCTGCTAGCACTTTGCTTGATAAATCTCAGGTCCCTAAAACCTGCTGAGGACCACCTACGTAAAGTGGTGGCTGCCACGGACATAATTGCTGGATCAAAAATTACTTTGTCAACAGTTCTTGGGTAAGAAAATCACATCTACTACAAAGATTTTCAATTTCGATTACATGAATCAATAATGATGTAATCAATTCGTCGTCACAATGCGCAGTGCCAGCATTGCACTATTATCTTGCCTCAGGGGTGTCAAAGAATGGGCCTCCATTTTTATTAGATTTCATATTCACTTCTCTAATCATTTGCATTTCGTCATCAATTCTCTGAAACATGATAATTTTCGGAGCTTGAATTTACAAGAATTAACTTAAGCCTTGGAAACCCGTGAACCGGATTCTCTGGTGGATTTCGTGGGATTGGACTTTCAGCAGTTGGAAGCCTTTACTCACTCCCTCACTTAACTCACCGGCTAAAATCAACAGTTTTCAAACTAGGAAATTCACTCTGCAACCCACCGTTGATGCGGTGCAAATTAAGTGAAGTCCTGTTTGTGGCAGAAACATTGCTCCCTACGCTTGCTACGAGCTGGGGTCGATGCTGTTGGACAGAGACACATCTGGTGATGGATTGAGCTTGTTGGAGAAGAGCACGTCCTTCCCGTTTCACGACTTCCAGACACGGCTTAAATTCGTGGTGGGAGAGCGGCTCAAAAGGTTTCACTAATGCAAGACTCTGGAGAGTTCATTACATGCACTTCTACAGAGATCCTACAGATCTTCGTGGGCAGAAGAACAGCTATGCAACTCAGGCAGGGTCGCTAGTGACAAAAGTAGAATGAAAGTTAGCCATGATGGCAACACAGAGTTCCGTGGTGTGGAATCGAAGGCAGCCGTCGCCGTCAATTCCCAATCTTAGCTTGAATTTTTTTCTTGAATTTACAATGTGAAGCTTACAAATCGAAACTCTAATTCTTCAGATCAATAATTAGTCACGAGCTCGCTTGGGAATTTTAGTTGACTTCCCTGCGATTCGCACTCATACCTCGAACCAAAACGTTGATTGACGTCTACCTTACATTCGCCTAGTCCACGCTTGCCTTCTTGCGTTGGAGATTCGATCCTATCCATTGTAAAGTAATTCCCTGTGCTTAGTCGTCTCAACCAGCGAACTTCCTTCTGAACACGCATCCAGCCGAAGAAACAAGCTAACCGCTGAAATCACCCAAAATTAAGCATTCCATGATTGAGACCATTCACGCCGTTTAGTCCATATTGTCTGGCCATTGATGATAGTGTGTTGAGATCGCTACATTAATCGACGTCTGTTGTTGATATACAGCGAGGAATTTGATTTACACTTGCCGACCTTGAATCTCTGCCGGTCATTGCCATCTTGACGCTGCATTCGCACATGCAACAGAGTAGAGACAGCTTAAACTGATGGAACTTTTCAACAGTTCTGATGTATCAATAATGCGTCTCCTGGTGGCGTCTAAGCCGCTGCCATTTCATGACGAATGTTCTTGCCTGAGCGGCTGATTAGTTGCCGCTCTTGTACCGCCTTGCTCTTTTGACAAATTGCTGCTTTCAGGCACGCCAGGATTCGTAGTGCGTCTTTTGTTCGGCCTGCTGTGCCTCAATGCCGTTTCCCAAAACCCAGGCCGCCGGTGCAAGGAGCTCCCACCATACTGCCGGTTCTTCGCTGCCTCCTCTGCAGCCGCGTTTTGGGGACTTTGTCGGTGAATCCCACTGCTAACAGCAGACTGCCCTTCTCGATGGTACTCGGCCCATGCTGCTGCCTGCCTTCTCGCTAACTCTTGCATTCGTTGCATCTCAGCCAACATAGTCGCCATGTGCATCAACTCCAAGTGACTCGGCTCAAACACTTCCGGCATCAACAGACCGCTGGCAAGAATACTGGCATCAGGAAAGGTCGACGTAAGCATATCCTGTTGGTTTTGTTGCATGATTGCTAGTTGCAATAAGCTCGAGAATTGCGTGGGATAGAAGGAAAGCAAATCCGCAAATTGCTCCTCAAAACCACCAAATCCAGATGTGACTGGATGTGCTAGCATGCTCGCCAGAGCTGCCATCATTGGGGGACTGCCAGGGTGTTGGTAACGCTCTGATTCACCTTCGGAGCCCGTGAGAGTTGAAGATGGAGGTGTCCCGGGGTGGAAGTGAGGAACACTGCTGCTTTGAGGAACAGTGGTTGTCCTCTTGCGACAGCTGCCACCAGGAGGGACGTTGCGGAGAGTGCCCCCGACGGTCCAGTAGCGCTGGCAGTCATGGCAGTAGTGGCGAGGCTGACTGGTGCTGTAGTTGTTGTAGTAGCAAAATTTCGTGTTCATGGACTGACAGCGGGGGCAGGGGAGGTCCTTTACGGGGTTGCCGTCCGGACCTATGCTGCCCTTGCTTCCCTGCGAGTGGGATCCTTCCTCTTCATCATGGGAGTGGGAACCAGAGTTCGCTGCCAGATGTGCATGGATCTCCTCGTTCTCGGTTTCTTGAAACTCAGACAGATGTGAAATTGGCAATTGCATGGTTGGTCGTCTTCCTACACAATCTGTCAACTTCAACTTCGACTTCACCAGCTGTTCTGGCTAATCACGATTTTCAGCGAAAGAGCAATAGTGATCGAAGGCTTCAGAGGAAGCGGATGTCCTGCTCTCTCGTGCCAACCACTCTGCCGACTACTGCCAAAAACACTTCAATTTCCGAACGATATCTTGTCCTCACTTCGGTTCCTAAATCACCTCCAAGAGCATTTCTAATCTCTCTAGTTCGACTTCCTGCAGGTAGATATCCTTCCAAAGCAAGTTCTGACCACTCAGATTGCCCGAATTCATCAACCTGGCACAATCTCAAACACAATAGCTTCGTTGGAGCACAGTATCGATCAGAGCGTGGTGTCAGCACCTGTGTCCTTTACAGTCTCGATCGGAAGCGAGGATGAAGCGCCGATCTCAAGTTGGATTCCTAGTGTCAATGCAAATACACAGCGCACAGCGTTCAGGCAAACCCGGTCTGCGCTCAAACCCCCCCTGCAACGACCAGCACCCCCCTCTTAAATGCCCAGTTCGGTTGTGACTTTTGTCAGCATCAGGCTCCCCTTTCGCCCTTCCTTCATCCTTCGCGACCTGTTCGTTATCTTCTTTCTGGTTTCTTTTTTCTATTTTTTCTTTTTGAGTTTTCATTTTATTTTGAAAAGAACGGAAACAACGAGGAGGAAGAAGGTGGGGAGGGAGGGGCGAAGGGGAATTGCGGGGCTGGAGCCCTGTCAGAGTGCGGCAAAGCAGGCACACACGGACATGAACGCGCAACCGGGTTGACAAATGGGCACCGCGCGTGCTCGGCGCAGCGGTTAAGGAGATGGCAAAACCGGGATTCTGCAGACTTACTTACTTTGCAAGGCGGGGGACCGAGGAGGACCGGGATTCTGTTCTCCGTGACGACGCCTATTCTATCGGGGCACCACCAGCACTATCAACACCAACAGTAGAATCAACGACCACAACGACGACGACGATGCACTCACACCCACTCACTCACGCAGGAGCAGTAGTAGCAGCAGTAGTAGGACTCAACCCCCCCCCCCTTTTCCAGCCATTCCTCGTCCTCCTGGTTGGTGTGTTGCATCCATCCATTTCTCACGGCGTCCTTCCTTCCTTCCTTGGCGCACATATACACACATGGACATGGGTACCAACCGACACCACAGCTATGAAAAAATAAATAGATAATTTTTGTAAAGAAATTTCGAGATATGGAATTCAATGAATATGGTATTTGATACCAAATATGATATAATTACATAAAATACAAACAGTTGACTTTATTATCTATAAATGTGAAAGGTATTTAATTAATTACTTTTGGTTTTTAAGATTTTTTTTCAAAGATTTTGTACTAAATTATAAAATACTTAGTATTAACATGATGTGTTAAAAATATATTCAATTGAAATCACATAAAAATAGAACCATAAAATAAAATAAACAACAACAACAACAACAACCTCAAATATAAATGCTTATGTTTTATTTGAGCTCTTTATTGAATTATGCAACCTAAATTTATTATATAAAACACATAAAGGGATATAAATCAATGAGATAATCCAAAGAGACAAATTAACCTTCTGATTGGTTGTCCTAATAAGCTTGTCATACATAAATCCTATGCAAAATGACCTGAAATAGTTGTTGTTGGAGGGGGGGTCCTTTCATAAAGTACACAATGATGAAGCTTTTTTCCATTGTCTCTCTTGTTGATTATGTTGTTTACAATGTGTTTATTAATTATGGCATCTCCCTTGTTACAACTTCAATTTGCACTTACACTATGAGCTCTCTGTAGCTTTCTGACTTGCACTTTGTTGATTTTCAAGCAACAACCACCTCTACATAGATCTCTATATAAAACACATGTTTGAAGGACTTAGCACAATTTTTGCTTTCTAATAATTAAATTTTAGAAGTAGTTCCTTGAACAAAATTAACTCATTTTTTATATATTTTTTGTGACAATGGCACAAGTTCAACTAGTATCCATTTAAAAGACAATTAAGTTTTCAATGATATAGAAATCAATTAAAAAAAAAAACAATAGTATTTCTTAAAACAAACTCCTAACTACTTTATTTACTAAATTGAACTTGTTTATGTCAATGATTGTCAAACCATAAAAGTATTTTTCATTAATAAAAAAATTTAAAAAATAATTACTATAATAATAGAAGATTCAATCACCAATACATATATATATATATATATATATATATATCTGTTATTAGTTCTTATTTTAAAACATTTTGATTCTTTCTATATAGACTAATAGCCTTAATAAAAATTGGCTTTATAAATTAGAACATAAGAAACAAAAACACCATTTTTACAGTCAATTAATAAAACATAGTTGTCACATGATGTTACAAGCATGCTTTAAACTTCAAATATTTATGTGGCTTAGTTTGCAAATTTTTTCATAGGAAACATTAACTCTCTCTACAATTAATCTGTATCCAAAATCAATTCAGCTTTTCTTTCTTTTTTGTTGTTGTGTGTTTGATTTTTTATTAGTGTTATTATGTACAACCACATTTCATTAAATTTTGTATCATTCTACACAATGAGTTTCTCTAGCACATCAAACTGATATTCATCCACAATATGCCATGTTAATCAAGGATGAAAATGTATTCCACACATAAAGATGTTTAAGAATCATGTGCATATAACAGATTGGCAATGAGTTATAACTGAGATTTGTAAAGGTTTAACATAAATTGTACTCTTGCTGTTGTTGTTAAGTTCACCAGTATTTGTTGTTATTGAATTTAATTATATTATAATTTTATAGACTAGACAATAAATCTTGGACAGTAGATTTTTTTCTTGAATACTTTCCATTTATTCTAGAGGGATGTATCTCAAAGGTACAGATTCAAATGCATCCACAAAACAAAATTCTGATAAGACTGGTTTCCAACTTCTTTGTTTCTTTTCTTCTTTTTTCCTTCCGGTTCATAAATATTTTCACATATGTATATTTTAAAAACATTCCGACTGGAATAAGGCATTAGAAAGTGCACCACAATTTTGGAAATTTTTCAATAATTATCCAAGACGTTTTTCTGGGGAAATTCCTACCATAATATATATATATATATATATATATATATATATGAACTCTTTCAAGTTTCATAAAATATATGGATAGATGAAAAATACTCATCAAATAAAATTTTCTCCAAGTGAGCATTATGTATTATTGATCTTTCTTCAAATTCTTTTTTCATTTTTATCATATATTTATTTATTGAGTTTGATCCTGCATTAGTGGTTGACTACCCCTGAATGCAGGCCAAGGGTGAGAAAGGATAAGCCTACTTCAATGTCAACCTCTGACATGGCACTGACATGGAGCTAACTCTCATGCCCCTGGAGGTTTAAAAAGTTATGACAATGAAGTAAAAAATCATATAAAATTCAAAGAAAGATAAATATATTAATCAATGATCTTTTTAAAATAGAAAATAAAATCAATACCAAAAGTTCCATGTCATAAAGTCAAACTTGACTCTCATAACACAAACTTAATAAGTATTCAAATAGCCACAAGATGCCTACAAGCCCACAGTGAGCATGAATCTCTCCAATGAGAGCACACTACAAACCTTTCAAAACATAAAATCAATTCATTTTTGGAGGAAATGGTTTCCTTTGGTTGATTCACATACGTCACAATGACCTTATTTGTAGCATTCTTTGATCTATTCTCCTCCTTGCACCCACAAACTGAATATATTTGGAAAGTATGTGGATGAACAAAACAAACAGGCAGGAAAGGAAAGAGGAGAATGTGGTGATGGATGGATGAGTATAACATGTAAATCTATCTCTTGGTTCCTTTGGTCTTCCTGTACTTTGATCCAAAGTGATAGGAAGAAAAGGGAGGTGCCAATGAGAATGAAACAAACAAACAAACAACAAGCAAAGGCAAGGCAAGGAAGGGGATTTGTACCCTAATCATCACCATTCTCCTCATCAAAAAGAAAAGTAAAGAAAGAAAGAAAGAAGGGAATTGGAAGACACAAGGCAAGTGGGTGGCAAGAGAGGAGGAAGGAGAGGTGGATGACTTCAGGTGTCGAATGGTGCATTCCAGAATTCAAGGAAGGAAAGGAAGGGAGACTCACTCCCCAAGAAGGGGGGGGGGAGAGGAGTGGAAGATCACTACAGTGCACAAAATGACCACACCACACCCACGCCACACCACATGGTGAAGCATGCACTCTGTAACACATGGGGCCCACTTTACAGGGTCACACTCACATGTGCATGCAGGCAACACCCCCCCCCCATCCTTCCCTCCCTTTCTCACTCTTTCATCCCTTCCCACCCCCAACCCCCTCCCCCCCCCATGCACATGACATGCCATCACAGTCATTTGCTCCTCCTCCTCTCCTTGCTCTTCTGTTGCTCTCTTGATGTCATCACCTTCCATTTGTGCCCATTCCTGCTACGACCCCCCCTCTCATGTATTCTATTCCTTTCATATACTGCTGCTACTCTTCTTCTCCTTCTTCTTCTCCTTCTCTTCTCCTTCTTATTGTGGTTAATAATACAGTTAGTGATGTGATTTGTTTTCTTCCCATGACAAGGGGCATCAAGAGTCGGGGTGTTGACCTGGGCACCCATTGTCCAATGCTGTCCTTCCTTCCCTCCCTCCCTTCCCTCCTCCTCCATCATCCAACATGTTCTTTCACCATAGCATCCAGCACTCCCTTCCAATGCAAACAATTTCAGCCCTATCCTTTGCTTCAAAAATAATAGACATTAGCTACCAAAATTAACTTGAAGTATCCATTTTATTTATTTGTTTGCTTGTTTGTTTCCTTTACCTTACTAGGCATCTGTGACTAATTGTGTTTAAGTTCCATGCAATCCAACTGCAAGTTCACGAAAACAAGAATTCAGAATAAATCAAATCACTCTCCTAACTTGTTTAGAAAGAAAAGAAGAAGAAAAAGAAAACCATCAGTAGTTCAATTTTTTACTGATTTTTTTTTTTTTTTTGGAAAGATAGGATTGCATGAATACATTCCTACCTTATGATTGAGTGCCCAATGACAAATAATGGATTAATGTATAACAAGTCAATTGCACCTTTTGAAGTATCATTGTCCAAAAACCTATTTTACTGAATAAGCTAAATAGATGCATGGTTTACACTTCTTAGGGGTCTTTTTATTTCTTATCTTTTTAGGGAGTAAGGTGAGAAATCAAAACTTTTAAACTTTTGATTGGTTGAAATTGAGGAGCTTCAATTAATTATCTCTATACTTGGAAAAATTAGTCCAAAGCCCATAGAAAAATATGAGATAGGATGCACTTTTTCTTATATAGTACAAATAGTATTTTTGTGTGAAATCTGTACTAGGTCCATCTCAAAAAGTGATTTTTTTAAAATTAAAAATTTGGGTGTAAATTTCTTAAGAATAAACATAATAATTAACTATCAAAAATATTTCTTTTAATTTATGTAAATGTTTAAAGAAATTAATTAATAT